AAATAAGGTTAGGATGCTTCTTAAAGGATAAGGACTGAGCTCTAAAGAGCAAGACTACAGAAGACCATATACAAGAATATCCTCATAATTTTAGAGTTTGAGAGATATAAAAAAACTTATGAAGATTTGATTTTCAGAATCTTTCAAAACTTCTAAATCAATGTTGTCCAAACTTGGCCACTTTAAGATGAGTGGACTTCAACTCCCAGAATTCCCCAGCCATCTTAAAGTGGCCAAGTTTGGACAACATTGATTTAGAAGTTTTGAAAGATTCTGAAAATCAAATCTTCATAAGTTTTTTTATATCTCTCAAACTCTAAAATTATGAGGATATTTTTGTATATGGTCTTCTGTAGTCTTGCTCTTTAGAGCTCAGTCCTTATCCTTTAAGAAGCATCCTAACCTTATTTATATCTATACTGTAAAATATAAGGCCTCCATCTGGAATTTAGGGTATGGTACCATGGCAAGTTCACACAATGCAGAAGGGATTGTGTCTGTTCCCAATGGACAAGTCCTTTCAGTCCAATATAGCACAGAGGTTTAGCACCATAAAAAGCCATAACATTTTATTCAAGCTACTAGCTACATTCATTCATTCATTCATTCATTCATTCATTCATTCATTCATTCATTCATACATACATACATACATACATACATACATACATACATATTTATTTATATAGCTGCCCATCTCAAATACATGACCATGGGTGGCTTACCACAATTAAAAGCAACATTAAAAAAATATTAAACCGTATAAGAAAACAATATAACACAATCCATAACCAAGGTATAAAAACACTGAACAACACTCAACATTACCACTGTACAGGCTCTACCGCACACCCAGATCCCCAAGCCCAGTGGCAAAATCATGTTTTTAAGGCCTTATGAAAGGCCAGTACGTTGGGGCCAATCTCATCTCCAGGAGGATGGTGTTTCAAAGGGCGGGCACCACAACAGAAAAGGGTTTCTTCCTGGGCCCCACCAGATGGCATTCCCTAATAGACAAAACCCAGAGCATGCAAATGCATATTACAAATACAAGTTGTATGTATATGCCATATTGAACCCGGCCAAATTTAAAGGAACCACTTAAACCTAGAGTTTGCCTGTAACATATTTTTGGATCAGGACTAATTGGTAAAGAAAGGTATATATACTTATTTAAAGAATTTAGCTATTCCAGAAAAATGTGCCAAATCATTCCTAAAAGGAAAAAAAAATCATTTTTTTGCAGAGGAAAGGATGCTTTTGTTTGCTACTAACATCTTATGACTTCCATGTTTTTACTTTTAAATCTTTTTTCTATATTTTAGATGACAGGGCGTGATACAATAAAAGAACGACATGCAAAACCCATCAAAATTGGAGAAAGTGATATTGATGTAAGTGTAAAGTATCATCTTTCTGATCCTTGCAAAATCTCACTGTTTTATTAATTTAACCTTGTGTTTATATATTCTTATTTCTAGGTAAAACTAAGTGTCTTCTGTGAGCAAGACAGGATTCTGCAAGACCTAGAAGACAAAATAAGAGCCCTTAAAGAAAATAAAGTAATCATTTTTGGAGTTCATTACAACATCTTATTTTTATAATACTCTGTTTCTGGGGTATGCAATCTTTTCTGCCTGAAGGCCCCATTTATATTTTGAGTATGTAGTAGGTAGGGCCAGAATTCGATCTTTAAATGTAATTATCTTTACATTAAAAATGTATTCCAAGCTAAACGTAAGTATTGTAATTACATTCAGATTATGTATTTCCTAATTTTTCTTTTCTGTCATATTAAACATTATCAAATGCTTGTAGAGTCTATATGCAGTCTTGGGCCTCAGGCTGTACACTTCTGCTCCATATAAATCACTGAAAATATTACAATTACTTATTTTGGATATTGTGCTCAACTATTATCTTTAAAATAGAATACATTATTAAAATAAAATAATTTGTAAATATGGGGGTTTTTTTCCTCTGAAGGATTTGAAGATCCACCATGGCTCATAAAATAAATAAATAAATAAATAAACAAACAAACAAACAAACAAACCAGTTGTTTGTTTTAAATAACTTCCCAACTGGAAGGAGACATTTTAAAAAAGCCTAGGAAGATGCCTGAATGATGCCAGAATATCTGTCCTCATTTCCACCTTCCTAGTTTGCAGAGAGCTGGACTTCAGACAAGTTGGAATGATCTGGTGTTATCTGATTTCAAGATAACATTGCTAATCATTTGGCTATTCTGAATCAAACATTTTAAATACTTTTTTTTATTTCTAGAGTTATCCTGTTTTGTTTTTCTTTCTTCAGATTCATCCCTCTCTATTGTTAACTAGGAAATATAATGCCTTTCATAGTAGAAAGATAGGTTTTGTCCAAAGGAATGAGAAGAACAAAATGGAACATTCAGAGACCTGACTGAATTTTGAAAGCTTATAACACAACATTTGGAAAACCTGTTGAGACTTATTTATAAGTTGTTACTGAAATGTGATTCAGAAACTGAACAAGTTAAAGATTGTATGATTAAATGGAAGCAGAATTTGAACAGGGCAGTTGTAGGCCACAGTGGGAATACCAATGGAAGATAAATATCAAACATACTGTGAATATTACTCAGACAAAATGGGTTAAAAAATTGCTTTTTTGTTGGTATGTTGCACCAGTGATGATTGCCAAAATAGATAATTCACATTAAAAAAATTATTGCAAATGCTACAATTAAATTGGATCATTTTTTCAAGCTTGTAAAAAATAATAGAATGAAACAAATTCTAAATATCAACTTTTTTTGTTCTCATTGATAATTCTTATATTAATTGCTTCTGTAAATTACTGAATATTGATTTGATTTTAATAATGGTTTTAAAGATCTTACGCGCTAAATTAAATGTAAGATCACCTTTATATGCATCACTAATAGAATGCTACTTTGAAAATTCTTACTCAATTTTATATAGCTTATAAATCTCTTTTCTATTTCTTTTTTGCTCTTTTTTCTTTGTTGTGCTTTCAAGTATTTGTTAAAATGAAAAAAAGAAAAGAAACAAAATCATGAAAATAGTGAAATGGCTAGTGATTGGTAGTGATCCAGAGAATTTTGGATCCAGGATTTCTGATATCCACAAAACATATTGTATTTTAGAGTGAACTCACCCACCCACTTAATTTTGGCCAAACTATATATCTCATTGTTTCCTTTGTGCCTGAAAGTACACTGTTGCTGTAGCATAAAGAAATGGGAACTTTTATCCTTGTTTTATAATAATATGAAATATTGTTGCACATATTTATAATAACATCCAGAATCTGAAGCCTCTTTTTTTTATTTGTCAGGTGCAAACAAACATGCACCTGATTTTATACATCTTTGAAAGAGGAAAACTCTGCTTTCAATATTCACCAAACCTATTCAAGAATTTTTTTCAAAGACCGAGATAATGTGACATTATCTGATTGACAGTCTATATAATTTTCTCAAAAATTGCTAGATCACACATCTCTAAAATCTAATTCTTTATATCTGGAGTTACAGTATTTTTTCATCTCCTAAGGTTTATTCTTCTTGCTAATCCTAGAGCATGAAAAACCCATCTTTGTTCAGAACATGTTAAATTCCAAGTAGTTGGTATATAATTTAATGCAATATGCATGTCTTTAGAAACCAAAGTTTTCTCAATAATTCTGTCAACTTATTGTATAACATTACTCCAAAAGGAGTATAAAAAAAGAACATGATCACCAACCCAAGTAATCATTAGTCCATCCCTTATGAAACATTCTAGATAGTGTCCAATAAATATGAAAAACAATATTTTAGTGGATTAATTTCAACTTTAAATTATAGGACATAAACTTAGTATTCTTCAAGACTTGAGTCCATTAGTTTGGAAGGACCAGTTTCCAATTCTTGATTCCAAGATTTTCTATATTTGTTATAGATATTTTGAACTGTTCCTTTAATTTTTGACAGAAGAAAGTAGGTTTAGATTCTAAAATTAAATTCTTCAGTATTAATAATATATGAGGTATTTTAAAAGCTGCTAAAGCATCAGGTCTGTATTGAGCTGATAGTAAACTAGAATAGTTGCAGTGGCTGAAAAGATTTGAAGTAATCATTAAACAATAAATGATATAATGTAATTATATCCTTTTGTGCCCATTCTCTCCAGTAAAATGTTTGCAGCGAATTTAAGAGTAGAAGTATTCCAGAGAGTTAAGTATTTATGAGATTCTGTATCAAAATTAAACCTATCACCTAACAGGCCCCACATACATCTTACCACTAGCAAAGTTGGAAACACTAAATTACTCCTGGTAAACTTTGTACCTAACAGCTGCCAAGATTTAAATGGGTAAGTACAATGACTTTCCAATTTAGCCCATAGTGGCAATTTATCAAAAATAATTTCTTTCCAGTAGAATATTGATACTAAAATATATTAAAACCACCATTTGTCATAGACAAAGACAATTTAGAAAGAGAGATTCTGGGCATTTTATCTTCCCAAATTTTCTCAAAAGCCTATCAATTTGATCAAAGTACATTTTTTGAAATAAACATGGATATCACTCTTAAAACATACTGTATAAAAGCCTAGGACTTACATTAATTTATTTTACTCCACAAAGTCAAAGGTATCTTATACTACCTATCAAATTCTGGTGCAATTTGCTCCAACACAGTAGACACATTAACTTGGCCAAATGTTGAAATATCTTTATAAATATAAATCCCTAAGTGTTTAAGAAATTTAGCAGAAACTATAAATCCTGTCTCTGTACATCATTCCAATGAGACATCTGTCCCTAAAAGAAGTAAATTAGATTTACCCCAATTAATCTTATGTCGAGAATATGAGCCATATGACTAAATTTTACTCATTAGAGTGGGCAATGAGAAAGTGCAATTGCTAAGCTCAACCAACATATCATTGGCATAAAGAAAAATCTTACATTCAAGAGAATAGTTTTTGTTTCGTTTTTATCAGATGATCTCATTTGTACTGCTAATGGTTCTAAGGCTAAGTAAATAAATATAATAAATAAAGGAGGGGGGCATCCTTGCCAAGTCTTGCATTTTAGTTCAAATGGTTCAGAAATTATCTGATTTGTAATAACTCTAGCAATAAAGTGAATAGGTGAAGAATAATGTATTGACATCCATCTAAGAAAGAATGTAGAAAATCCATATTTAATCATAACCTGTTTCAAGAAATTGATATGAACTATATCAAAGGCCTTTTCAGCATCTAATGATATTATTTCCATGGAATTTAAATTATTTTGTGTTATTGTTCAATCAACAAGTGAGCATATATTATCCAAAGCTTTTCTAGAATGTAAAAAGCCAAATTGAGATGGATGAATAATATCTGACAAAATTGATTGAAATCTTTTAGCTAAAATAGCAGTTAAAAAGTTTGCTATCCACATTAATTAATTATATAGGTATATATAAGGCATCAAAGTTATATAAGCTTTATAAAATGAAGCCATTAGTCTTGCCGTTTTAAACGCCATGTTAGTTCCAGTAAAAAAGGTTCCTCATACCTGTTTGAGTTTAAGACAGAAAGGTGGGATTCACTGCAAGGACAACAGAGATGTTTCAGGCTGTGTCATGTTCCTGATTATATAATTAGAAGAGAAACAGGATTTAAAGCCTTACCAACATGAAATGATTGGAATTTCAATATCAGATTAATTTTTACAATTTCCAGATATCTTAGAAATTTGTTTCCATCACATGTCAGCTCTGAAAAGAACTGTTTTGTGGTATGTCAACTGAATAATTGATCTTTGATTTCTTTTCAGCAACAGGCCTTTAAGGAAAACTGCTTTTGACAGTTTTCCTTGTTTCTACTGTATTTGGGAGAAAGTAGATTAAGATACACATTCCCCCAATAAATGTTTAAAATTATTTACACCCTTTCTTTTGAAAAGTTCAAAACAACTTACAGTTGTTGTTTTTTGAATAAAGAACGTATTTTCTACATAAATACTGGTCATAAACAGCAGCAGAAAATAAAAGCATGAGAGCAATAAAATAATTAAAATATCCAATGATTAGAGACAAAGTGCCAGTAAAAAATTAAAATTATATACAAAACACTTATTTAAAAAAGAAATTCTTTGCCAGTTTCTGAAATTGTATTAATAAAGAAGTGACAAGTATCATCTTTGGAAGGGATTTTCAAGCTGGGTTGCAGCCATTGAAAAACTTTCTTCATAGTCTCAATTAAGCATATCTTTGGGGTTTGTAGAACATACAAAACAACCTCAGAAGACTACTGTAGTAAGAGGAAAGATTTGTACTAGATGTTCTAAATTGTTCACAAATACTTTAAATGGCACCCAGAAACAAACTGTAAACTCCATCCCTATTAGCAAATTGATTACTATATTCTGAACCAATACTCTTTGGAAAGTCTCCCTATATAAAACTAATTAATTGAGATGTGATGTATATAGTGTGGACTAGATCTTCATTTTCCAGAGATAAGACTAGTTGAGCAAAAATCCCTCAACTTGAATATCCAAATCCAAGACTGGGTCTGAAAAATCCAAGATCTTTGGACCCTGGGAAAATCCAAGATCTTTGGACCCTGGGATGGATGGATGGATGGATGGATGGATGGATGGATGGATGGATGGATGGAT